CTCACGCATGTTAGGCAAGCACGATACCGCTGAGCCACAACCCCAGTCCTGTTGTTTGTATTCTTAACAGCTGCCATTCTAACTGGAGTGAAATGAAATCTTAGAGTAGTTTTGATTTGCATTTCTCTAATTGCTAGAGATGTTGAACATTTTTTCATATATTTGTTGATTGATTGTATGTCTTATTTTTATAAATATTTATTTTTTAGTTGTAGGTAGACACAATATTTATTTCATTTTTATGTGATGCTGAGTGACCCCAGTGCCTCACATGTGTGTGCTAGGCGAGTATGCTACCACCAAGCCACAACCTCAGCTCTGTGTATCTTCTTTTGAGAAGTGTCTGTTCAGTTCTTTGGTTCATTTATTGATTGGGTTATTTATTTTTTTTTGGTGTTAAGATTTTTGAGTTCTTTAATATATCCTAGAGATTAGTGCTCTATCTGATGTATGTGTGGTTTCAACACTTCTTTTCAAAATTTTTTTAATTTGTTCTTTTTAGATATACATAACAGTAGAGGGTATTTTGACATATTATACATACATTGAGTACAACTTATTCTAATAGGATCCCATGCAGTTGTACACAATATGGAGTTTCACTGGTTGTGTATCCATATATGAACAAAGGAAAGCTATGTCCAATTCATTTTACTGTCTTTCCTATTCTCATCCCCCCTCCCTTCCTTTCATTCTTCTTTGTCTAATCCAGTGAAATTCTATTATCCCTCTCCCTCCAACCATTGTATGGCAATATCCACATATCAGAGAGAACATTTGGCCTTTGTTTTTTGGGGGGATTGGCTTATTTCTCTTAGCATAATAATCTCTATTTCCATCCATTTACCCACAAATGCCATAATTTTATTCTTCTTTATGGCTAAGTAATACTCCATTGTGTGTATATTACCACATTTTCTTTATCCATCCATCAGTTGAAGGGTACCTGGTTAGTTCCATAGCCTGGCTATTGTGAATTGAGCTGCTATAAACATTGATGTGGATGTGTCACTGTAGTACACTCATTTTAAGTCATTGGGGTATGTACCAAGGAGTGGGATAACTGGGTCAAATGGGGATTCCATTCAGTTTTCTAAGGAATCTCTATTCTGCTTTCCATACTGTAGCACCAATTTGCAGTACCACCAGCAATGTGTAAGAGTACCTTTCTCCCCACATCCTTGCCAACATTTATTGTTACTTGTGTTCTTTATAATTGCCATTCTAACTGGAGTGAGATGGAATCTTAGTGTAGTTTTAATTTGTATTTCTCTAACTGCTAGAGATGTTGAACATTTTTTCATTTATTTTTTTACCATTTCTATTTCTTCTTCTGTGAAGTGTTTGTTCAGTTCCTTTGCCCATTTATTGATTGGGTCATTTATTTTTCTGGTATTATGTTGTTTGAATATCCTGGAAATTAATGCCTTATCTGAGGTATTGGTGGTAAAGATTTTCTCCCATTCTGTAGGATCTCTGTTTATGTTCTTGATTGTTTTTTTTTGCTAGGAAGAAGCTTTTCAGTTTGATACTATCATATTTATTGATTTTAGATTTTACTTACACTTTAGGAGTCTTGTTGAAGAAGTTGGTTCCTAAGCCAACACAGTGGACCTACATTTTCTTCTACTAGGTGCAGGGTCTCTGGTCTAGTGACAAGGTCCTTGTTCTACTTTGAGTTGAGTTTTGTGCAGGATGAAAGACAGGAGTTCAATTTCATTCTACTACATATGGATTTCCACTTTCCCAGCACCATTTTTTGAAGATGCCATCTTTTCTCCAATGTATGTTTATGGTGCCTTTGTCTAATATGAGGTAACTGTACTTATGTGGATTTGTCTCTGTATCTTCTATTTTGTTCCATTGGTAGAAACCTTCTTTTTAATCTCTTCTTTGGACAGGTCCAGGTCTATGCCTTCCTCTTTTTCCATGGAAATTACCAGTGATTCATTTTTCTCTTAATATATAGACAACTAATTCCTAAGCTACATCCTCCAACTCTTAAATTTTTGAGTTTGAGATAGGTCTTGCTAAGTTGGTCCGGGCCTCTCTAAGTTACTGAGGTTGGCCTCAAACTTGTGGTCCTCCTGCTTCAACCTCCTGAATCACTGGGATTATAGGTGTGCACCACAACACACAGATTCTAACTGTCATATTTTCTTTTTAAAAATTTGTTCTTATTAGTTATACATGTCAGTAGAATGCATTTTGACATATTACACATATATGGAGTATAACTTTTCATACTTCAGGTTGTACACAATGTAGAATTACATTGGTTTGTAATCATATATGCACATAGGAAATGAATGTCTGATTCATTTACTATTTTTCCTATTCCTATTCCCCCTCCCTTCCCTTCATTCCCCTTTGTCTAATCCAAAGTACTTCTATTCTCCCCACCGCCCCTTATTGTGAGTTAGAATCCACATATTACAAAGAACATTCATTCAGCCTTTGGTTTTTTTGGGATTGACTTATTTTACTTAGCATGATAATTTCCAGTTCTATTCATTTATCAGCAAATGACATAATTTCATTTCTCTTTATTGTTGAGTAATATTTATTATGTACATATACTGTATTTTCTTTATTCATTCATCTATTGAAGGTACCTAGGTTGGTTCCATAATTTAGCTATAAACATTGATGTGGCTGTGCCACTGTAATATGCTGATTTTAAGTCCTTTGTGTATATACCAAGGAGTGGGATAACTGGGTCACATGGTGGCTCCATTCCAAGTTTCCTGAGGAATCTTCATACTGCTTTCCATAATGGTTGCACCAATTTTCAGTCCCATCAGTGATGCATGAGTGTTCCTTTTCTCCTATATCCTCTCCAACATTTTATTGTTGCTTATATTCTTGATAATTGTCATTCTTACTGGAATGAGATGGAATTTCAGTGTAGTTTTAATTTGCATTTCTCTAATTGCTAGAGATGTTGAACATATTTTCATATATTTGTTGACCGATCTTATTTCTTTTTCTATGAAGTATCTGTTGAGTTCTTTTGCCCATTTATTGACTGGATTATTTGTATTTTGGGTTAATTTTTTTTGAGTTCTTTATATATTCTGGAGATTAATGCTCTATCTGAGGCAAAGATTTTCTCCCATTCTGTAGTCTGTCTCTTCACTTCCTGGATTGTTTCCGTTGCTGTGAAGAAACTTAGTTTGATTCCATCCCATTTATAGATCCTTGATTTTACTTCTTGATCTTCAGCAGTCTTGTTAAGGGAGTTGATTCCCAAGCTGACATGATATAGATTTGTGCCTACTTTTTATTCTGTTAGGCACAGGGTCTTTGGTCTAATGCCTAAGTCTTTGATCCCTTTAGAATTACTAACTCCCATATTTCTTAAGCAGATTTGTTTTTAATACTTTTAGCTTCATGTTCATGGGTTTTCTTATACAACTCACTGAATTTTAATTGTCCTCTCTGAGGTCTAGAGTTCATCAGATGCATCCCCGATTTCTAGAGCATGCTGAGATCATCCAGATCTGAGATAGGTGAGATAGATAGCCTCACATATTATTTGGAATCTTTTTGCATCTATTCTCCAGTAGTTGTCTTCTGCTCTGGCTCAAGGAATTCCAAAGCTTCCATTTACATTGGCTGGATATGTCCTAGCAAGGTAGGCTCCGGGGTCAAGGGTGGATATTGTAATGGTCCTGGAAGGATTTTCACAATGGAGGGTGGCCTGGTTTAGGGGCTAGGGGGTCCACAGATCACAAACATAAGTGTGTGCATTCAGAGCCAGAGAAAAATCATATAGATGTTTTCTGAACACCCACAAAAGCCTGACTTGGGAACAGGTTCTTTACCTTTATCTACTTAGTCACCTATGAGTCTTTTCTCCATTCTCGTGTTACAAAGAAGTAGAGGCTCAGGGAGATGAAATAACATTCCCAGAATCCCTAGTATGAGACTTAGTCCAGGAAAATTGGATAATGAGACTTGTGCTTCCCCTGCCATATCATGCTGATTCTTACAGATCAATAGTTTTATTTAGTTTTGGATATTTTAACATTTATTTTGGAATAATTTCAGTCTTCCAAAGAAGTTGCAAAAATAACATAAAGCCTTGTCCTATATCCTTCATGTCCCCAAATGTTAACATTTTAAAATCGCAGTACAATGATGAAAACTAAGAAGTTAGCAAATGACAACACTATTAACTATTTTACAGTTTTCATTCACATTTTATCAATTATTCCATGAGCATTCTTTTTTTTTTTTTTTTTTTTGAGAATCCTGTTCAAGTCTCACATTAATAAATGTTTTAAAACTAAGATGTTCTTTTGGGCTTCTGGGTGCAGGAAAATTTTAGGGCTCTGTAGGATTAATTTCTTAATGTGGCCCACATATTATTCTTCCCTCATAGGGAGGGTAGGATTATGTCACAAAACTCCATTGGGGATGGCAAGAGTCAGTGCCAGGGCCTGCAGGTACAGTTAGACTTAATAGGCAGAAATCTGTGACAACTGCGTGGCAAGGAAAACCTGTCTTTAGAGGAAGCACACAGAATAGTTGATGGCTTGGTAGGACTCTGGGAACCCAAGGTAGGTATGTAGAATGTACTCCTTGTTAAATGTAACTGATTCCTTATATCTCAGTTTAAATATTACCCGTCTTCTATGTCAGTTGTTATTGAATAACACTGTACTGGTCTGTGCTGGAGTTTTCTTGCATGTAGGCAAGGAAGGAGGCTTTTATACCTCAGGTTTTTGGAAACTTCCCTTGCCTGGACTGTGTGTTGTAATGGGTAGAAAACTGACTGGTGTGGGCTGAGAAGCCCTTCAGGGAGATTTCCTTGACTGGCCTCCTTCAGGACCTGAGAAGGACGAGGCCTGGGTCTTGATTTGTGTTTAAATGCAGGCAAGCCATCTTTCAGGAAAAGCTGTTGGTGAGATCCACCTTGGAAGAGCAAGAGAATTGCTACTGACGCTGCGTACCTTCACCTGTGCCAAATGAGAGGAGGTTTCTGAGGCTGAAAAATGGGCCTCAGAGACTGGAGGACTCCCCTGCTATTGCTGGTTGCGGTGGTGCTGGTAGCTGTACTCGGTCACTTTGAAAGGTGGGAGGGCTTCCAGAATGTGTCCATGAGCAAGAACAATAGGAACTCAACACTCAGCTTCTTCATTGATTCCTACAACAATGCCAGCAACGATACCTACTTATTTCGAGTACGGAAGCTAATTCGAAGTCAGATGCAGGTTTGTGCCTTAGTTTCTCCAGACATTTTCAGGGCCCCCATTCTTGTATTTGCCAACACATAGGCCTTCTGATGAGGCTCCCAAAAGAAGCCAAAGACAGTGACTCCAAGTGGGGAGCAGCTTCACTTTGAATGGGTACCTTTTAGAGTTGTTTACCTTAGTCATGCTTTCAAAATACTGGTCTGAGGACTGGAGTCAACCCTCACTCCTTTACTCTTGGTCAAAAGAAACATGTCCACTGAGGTTCCCTACTGCTCTTTCCAGAGGATAATAAATAAGGATGTTTCTGTTTTTTAGAAGTGTTTCATTTGGCAAATGCAAACATTCTACAGGTTTCTTCTTCCCCAAAATAGTTTTTCAGTGTCTAGGGTTGTAGAATTTCAGATTGGGTTTTCTGTGTTCTAGAATCACAGAAGTCTTTTTGAGACAGGAAAGGTGGGAGAGGTGGGAGATAGACTTCAATTACATTGCCTCCTGATTACAAAGTTTTAAAAATATATCAATTGAAAGATGATAAAGTAAAGGGAAGTTGTTTGAAAACCACTTTTATTGGTGTAACCTTCGCTCAAGTTCAGATGATAAATTATGTAACTTAGGACAAAGACAGTACGAGATCTTAATTTAGCCAGATTGGGAAAAACTAATTGATTAAGGGAAAGATCTCTAGCCAGAGAGAAATGCAAGCATTTGGTAGAGGGAAGATTAGCCAGGCAGAAAGGCAGGGTGTTGTGGTGGGCAGTGTTAGTGTGATACACAGGCTGTCCTCTTATCACAGCGTCGACATTCCTGCGGGTCCCTGTCAATTACATGCTTCTACCGCCAGATGGTAGTGTTCTCATTTAACTTGTTGTCTTGGGTCTGTTTCCCAAGGATAAAACCAAGATTCCAAATCCTGACTTGTGAGATCAATCCATGATTAACAGTTAACTGTTAAAGAAGACTTTCTAAACAATCTTTCTGAACAAATTTCTAATGTCATTCAAAATGATAAGTGACAGAACAGATTTGCCTCTTGATAGCTGGGTGATCTTGAAGACAGGTCTCCTGGCAGATTTGATTGTGAATTCCCCTGACTATGAGTGTCCCAATACCTTACAGAGTATTATAGCAGGTTGGTATGAAGGGTTGCCTGAGTCTGAGCTCCAAGTATCCTTTCTGGTTTTGACATTTAGCTCTTCCCAACTGTGGGCTTTTGGTGAAGTGTCATCTCAACTCTGCCATTATCAGTTTCCTCACCTGCGAAGTGGGTCAGAATAAGAGGGAAATACTTAGCACAGTGTTGACATCTAATAGCACTTGTAAAAACATTTGCTGTTATTACAACCATTTCTTAAAAATCAAGGCTAAGGGGCTGTGGCTGTGGCTCAGTGGTAGAGCGCTCATTTAGTGCATGCAAAGCCCTGGATCCTTAGCACCACATAAAAATAAATAAATAAGACAAAGGTAAAAAAAAAATCAAGGCTAACTGAATATTACTTTGCACACTGGATTGTTAGTTAAATATATGACCAGAATTGTAATTTTTTCCTATATACAGAGAATATGATGGTCAGGGTGGCAGTGTTTGGACAGCCCTGCAAGAGGCCAATTCATAGTTGGAACTGCCCTTTGATGACCAGCAGAGGAGCATCTGTACCCTGGGGTGTTTCCAGTGAATGTTGGAGCTGGGGTCACAGTATTACTTTAAGCTGATATACCTGAGGCCCTGCCCTGAAGTTTTCTAGTGGAATCTTCCAGGAGCCGAATAGACATGCCCTGCTTCTACAACCCCAGAGAACATCAAGTTATTTCATTTGACTTGACCACTGACATTTGGGCAAGAAAGCAGGGGACTCCTTGTAGCATTTTCCCTTACCAATTCAGAGCTCTCTAATAACCTGGGGAATCCAGCTCAGTTCCCAACAGGAAACAATAATCATGTAACTCTACAGGCCTCAATGTCTCATTTGCAAAGTGGATTGGAGTTTTTCTTCTGAGTGAGGGATCTCCCTGTCCACAAAGACCTTTCTTAACCATCCTCCCTTTAGTCTTCACAGGGTTAGACTTGATCATGAGTAAAAGAAGACAAAGGACAACCATAGGAAATGGCTGTGACTTTGCCTTCCCCGTAGCTCACATATTTACCACATTCTCTTCCTTCATTCTTGTACACCCCAGAAAAAAACAGATTCAGGGAGTTGGAAGGATCATCCAAGTTTAGAGATCTTAGGAGATAAAGCCAGATCTCCTGTCTTCTCTTCTCTGGCTCTCCCAACTCCATAGCTGCTCCAGAGTAATGTTCCAGATACTTTACTGAAATATTAAAAAATTTATAATTTTACAAGATTTAAAATGTATTTTGAATGCATTAAGTGAATTGCATGCTTCCCTTTAGTGCACATAACTAACTCCACAAGAAGGCATAATGGTTATTTGGACTCTGTAAGTGAAGGAAATGAGGCTGTTAAGTAACTTGCTCAAGGTCACAGAGTCAGTAAATGGGGAGTGCATGCCCCAAATCAATTTTGATTCTGAAATCCATTTTTAGCTATGTGCTAAACTCTCTCTCTCTTCAGATTGACCAGGCAGGAAGGGGAGGTTAGGTGGGGAGGAAATGGCTGTAGGGACTGGGAGGACATAAATGAGACACTGGCTCTCTGCATTATGAAGATGGTATGTGACCACTGGGGAGTGGTTTGTGGTTGCTAGGCAACCTAGCTTGCTGCCACTTCCTTTGTCCTGAATATGGATGGGAAACAGAAGATAAGCAATCTATAGCTGAAATAATAATCCAGGGTCCAGGAATTGGGGGCTCACCAGGAACCTTGGGTACCACTGAGACTTGTTAAGCCAAGAGGGAAGATAGGAGCTGAGTTTTGGATGGGGTGAGCTATGGAAACAGGAATTGTGGCTCTGGGGATTCAATCCTAGTTTTGTCCCTTCTTGGACAGTCTCAGTCATTGGATGTGTAGAGTTGAAACTAACAGTTGCTTCTCATCAGCTGACAACAGGAGTGGAGTATTTGCTTACTGTGAAGATCAGCAGGACCAAATGCAAAAGGAATGAAACAAAAACTACTGACTGCCCCCTGCAAAAAAAGAAGCTGAAAAAGGTATGTGATGGGAGTCTTTTGAGAGGGACCTGAGATCAAAAAGGAAGTGGAATGAACATTTTATTTATTCATTACTTTTTAGTGCATTACAGTTATACATAATAGTGAGGTTCATTTTGACATATTCATCAATGTATATAACATAACTTGCTCTATCTCAATACCTCAGTATTTCCTCTTTCCCTATCTTCATCCCTTCCCTGATCCCCTTCCTCTACTCTATTCTCTCCCTCTTATTTATTTATGTATTATTGCATTATAGTTATATATACACAATTGGAATGCACTCTGATATATTCATACAGGGTCAATTTCATTTCTCAGTGCTTCCCTTTTCCTCTCCTCCCTCCTGGTTCCCTACTTCTACTGTACTTCTATTTTCATGAGATTCCTTTTTAAATTTCTTTTTTATCTCTAGTTTCCATGTACAAGAGAAAATATTTGACTCTTGACTTTCTAAGTCTGGTTTATTCTACTTAGCACGATATTCTCTAATTCCATTAATTTACTTGCAAATGACATAATTTTATTCTTCTTTATGGCTGAGCAGAACTCCATTATGCATGTACGTCTCATTTTCTTTATCCATTTGTCTATTAATGGGCACCTAGTTTAGTTCCATAGCTTGGCTATTGTGGATTATGCTTCTATAAATATTGGTGTGCATACATCACTACATTGTGCTGATTTTAGTTTGGAAATGACATTTTGAAATGCACTCATTGGATGTTGGCAGCTTTTCCAGCTGTGAGGATCCTGCTGGTTAGGATGCAGCCCTGGGGGCTGCCTAACCCTCCTGAGGCACCTGGAAGAGGGAGGAAGACTCTTTGATTAGGTAGTCTCTCTACTGGGCAGCATAGTTACGGGCCCAGGCCTTCTGTCGCCTGGCCTCCACTCCCACCTGCCTAGCCCTCTGCAGAAAGCAGTGTTTCCTTTTCCTTGGGGCCCTTGTTCAAGTCTGGATTCTTACTTTCCAAGTTGCTGAGGATTGTCCAATCTCCTCCTTGTCTTCCAAGTTATGCCTGTCCCTTTCTGCTTTTCCTGGTCCCTAAGTTCGTCCCTTCTTCAAGCTGGCAGATATGAGAATCTCTCCCTGTGCCTGGATGTAGGTGTACGAGTGGAGGACAGGAACATTGTCATTGCCCCTTGCCATCATTCCTGGATCCTGCCGGGTTATGGGCTCCAGGTGCACCTGCTATGGGTCCCCAATGACTAGACTGGTGTCCCTCCCTCTTAGTGCCACTAGCTGACTGTAGACAGTTACTCCCTGGGCCCACCAGGGCCTGAGGGGCAGGAGCCGTTTATTTGCCCTTGAAAACTATTTCCTCTGTAGCTGATTGTATGTTTTTTTTCCCCTCCACAGACTTTGATTTGCCAATCTTTGATATACACGGTGCCTTGGGTGCAATATTACCAGCTCTGGAACAGCTCTTGTCTGGAGAAATGAGCTTTTGTGCGAATATCTTCGATGAGTCCTTTAATGGCTACACTGTGCACCAGCTGCTATAAAGTTCTAAAAGGCATTGTGTCCTTCACTGGGGTCTCACTACACCCACATGCATGCTCACTCACCCTTACTTTCAATGACGCCCACATTAATACACCCACATACACACACAATCTCACTACTTGCAGACACATGGACATACTTGTACATATTCACACATACCTTCACATTCTCAGCCCTACACTCATACCTTCACTCATATGACTCACACATATTCAGTGGTCTTTAGGGTCCGGTGCAGTGGTCTTTGAGGGAACCTTGCCATTCTTGACCCCAGCCCACCTCTTCTGACTATTCTGGATTCAGGAACATCCCTGACCTCTGTTCCAAGCATGGGGGAGCCCTGTGTTCTCCCTGTACACACACCACACCATGACTTACACTGCGTGTATGTCTCAGGTCCCCAGGAGCAAACTAGGTTGGGTGATTCATTAGAGGTCTCAGAGGACTAGTGTACAGTCATACTCAGGACAAAAAGCAAAACAAAATCATTAGAAAGAAAAGGTGCGTGCCTGGGTGAAGTCTACACAAACCAGGTGGAAGCTTGCAAAATCCTCTCCCAGTGCCATCACACAGGGACAGGCTTAATCCCCAGCAATGAGCTGTGATGACACTTATGAAATGTCATATCCCAGAGAAGCAGGTTAGAGATCAGTGCCCATGGTTTTTGTTGGGAACTGGTCCCAACCTCTGCGTGTGTCAAAATTCTAGACTCCCAGGAGAGTAGATGTTCAGCATAGACCTCATGGTCTATACAGACAGTCTGGACACATTGAGGCCCTCTGCTCAGGTAGGGAGAATTGGCATCATTGTGGGGGAACCATTTACCCTTTATGTCTTCAGACTTTATCCAAAGTCAGCATCCTTTCTAAGAATGACAGTTCAGGGGTCTGGTTTACCTCTTTTTGGCACAAATCACTGAGCATCCAAAATTTACAGTGGCCTATCTCAATGGGCTTCTCCCTCCTATAACTCTTGTAGAGAAGGTACATGCTAGACCCAACCTGGGGCTGAGAGCAAGCCAAGTGTACCACATGACTCTTTGGTCTTCTCTCCTGCCCCAGACACAGAGTATTGCCAGAGAGGCCTAGGGGAGAAAAGGGGATGGAGGAAAAGAGGAAACGCTGGTGAAATCCTTGTGCAAAGGTCAGAAGCATCCTGCCATGCAAATCTAATGCCATGGGAGGCAAACTGGGTGCCTCTCACAGGCCTGCTGCTCTCTCCATCTAATTCAATCATCGTAACAAACCTATGAAATGGCTTTCCAAGGAGATTTCCTCCATGATGCAAATGAGGAACCTCAAAAAGCAACCTCTGTCTCGATTCTAACACCTTGCCTTGGTTGAGATAACTGATTAAATTTTTAGAGATTATTTATGCAGTATGTATTCTCTTGTTTTTGGTTTCTTTCATTCAACATATATTTTGCTGGTGTTTGTACTTATAGTTCACTTTTATTATGGGGTAGAATTCCATTACACAAACAAATCACAATTTATTTATTTTCTGATAATGAATTTTTGAGTAGTTTTCAACTTATAAGAATAATAGCTACTTGCAATAAACATACATGTATGTATGTATGGTGGACATGTATACTTGTTTCTGTTAGTATGTGCCTATAAGTGGAACTGGTTATTATGAGGATGCATGTATATTCAGCCTTTAGCAGTTTTTGCTCAATACCTGTTTGTAAAGTTTTTTCCTTGATTGCCTTTTTAATATTACTTAGTGGTTGATTTAAGCCTCTAAGACCTATTTATTTTATATCTCATTTTCATTTATGGTTGGACTAATTGTTCCATTTCTATTTTTGTTTTATATAATTCTGTATTGTCTCTCTATTCTTTTTATAATGTTTTACTAAACTTTATGACATTGACTTGAACATTCAAAAGTGAGCTTTCGCTGCCCAACCTGCCCACTTTGCTTTTTATTATTGGCAGACAGGAAAGGTTGGGCATAAGCAGACCACTGTGAGGCAAAGGGCCTGTGGTCTCTTACTGGGTATCCAGAAGCAGCACAGCATGGCTCTCTGGGATGGCATGGGTCTGATATCTGGATTGTGGTGGTAGTTACACAAATGTACACATGTAACAAAATGACACACATACACTGTACTAATGTCAACTTCCTAGTTGTGATTTTTTTCTATTATATAAACTAAAACTACTAGGGATAACTAGATGAAGGGTCCAGGGAACTTTTCTGAATTATCTTTGTAATTTCCTATAAAAATACAATAAATGAGAAAAAAATAGTTTAAAAAGAATCTTCAAATATGGGCTGAAAAATCCAAGAGATTAATGGGCATGAATGTCCCATCTCTTTTTTCTCCCTGAAGATAATAATCCCTGCCTTGGGGACAAAATAGCCAAAATACCTGAAGAGCATTAGTTACTGATTAATATTAAATTACTATCACTGCTACTGCCTACTACTAGCTAGCATTCGTTTGAATACCTGCCTTGTGTTAGAACATGGTATTATGCAATTTATGTACATTATCATCTTTAATCTTTGTAACTCTTTCATGAGTAGGTCCTGCTTTTTTCAAACTTGCTGATATTTTAGGTTAGTATCATCCCAGATAGTTGGCAGAGAGGAATCTCACCTAGGACCCACATGAAACAGGGTCCTGAACCTTCCAGAATTTTGATAGAGACTAGAAGCTAAAGTTTCTGTTATGTGAGAGGTCCCAGCTATCCTGTTGTGGCTAGTATGCCTCACAGTTTACAATGCATATGTGCAAGGAACATTCTGCTGGTACTCTGCTGTATCCTTTCAGCCTTTCTCTCTCTGTGCATGCCAGGTCAACTTCCAAGTGCCAGCACCTGTACCCCTTTATCTGCAGGTACTCTCTGCTGTTTGCTGTGCTCTGGAGCAACCAGGCCAGAAATACTAGGGAATTAATGCCCTCTAGGAGCTACCCTCAATTAATACTGACTGGAACCATTGGATAATATCCCTATTCCTAACTTCCAACTCCCTTAGATGAATGTTCTGTGGTGTGTGTGTGTGTGTGTGTGTTTTCAGCCTTTTTCTAGAGGCTTGGGCATGAGATATTCCTTTCTACTGGATGTGAATGAGGACAAAGGTGATCCCACTGAGTTGCTGGCAGCTCTCCTGAGACCATGTGGAGGAAGTGGAGTGGGAGGAGCCTGCTGACAATGTTTGAGGCCTTGAGTCAAATCATCGGGTGGGGGGGACATTTATACCCCACTGTTGTCCAGCCGTCATGAAAAGTGCTGTGATTTGAATATTTGAATATGTGATTTGAATAAGTTTCCTCCTAAACTTATATTGACATTTAATCACCATTGTGAGGTATTAAAAGGATCATTTGGGACTTTTGAGAGGTGGTTAGGGCTCTGCTCTCATGAATGGATTAATCCATACATGTGATTAACAGATTAATCCATTCACATGATTAAAGGAATAATTCATTCACATGGTAAATAGATTAGCGGGTTCATGAGTTAGTGGGTTATCTTGAGAGTGGCTCTGCTATAGAAGCCAGTTTGATAAGGGTCTCTTGTGTACTCCATAGCTTTCACCATGTGATACTGTATGCCACCTCCAGATGTTGCCAGTAGGGAGGTCATCACCAGATCATGTCCTTTGATCTTGGAACAGAAACACAAGTCAAAATTTGCCTTAAAAAAAAATAAAATACCCAATCTATGATGTTGAAACATTAGCAACAGAAAACAGACTGAGACAGAAAGCACATCCTCTTTAAAATGGCATTCCTGATTTTTCCCTGCCATGATCCTTCCTCTCCTGGCAGAATTAATCTGACAGTCTACGTGGGGAAAATAAAATGGGTCTTGTATCCCATTTCCTCTTCCAACAGGGAGCATATATTTTCCTTTGCTCCTACAGCAGGAATACTACAGAATTCATGGAAAGACCAGCTCTGATCCAGTGTTGCTGGTGTGTTGGGGCAGAAGTCTAATTATGGAGTTTGGTGTAGAAAGTACACTTATATGTGAAAATGAGGTACATCTATCTCTCAACCTAGAGCTAATCAATAACAAAAGTCTCATATTTCTTAATTGTGTTTTTTCTCCTTCTTTCACACATTTTTTGTTTGGTATTAGGGATTGAACCTAGGGGTTCTTAACCACTGAGCAACACCCCCAGCCCTTTTTTATTTTAAGACAGGGTCTTTCTAAGTTGCTTAGGGCCTTACTAGGTTGCTGAGGCTGGCTTTGAACTTGTGATTCTCCTGCCTCAGCCTTCTGAGCTGCTGGAATTATAGGCCTGTGCTACTCTGCCTGGCTCTCTTTGTTTCGAATTTCAGGTGAGGACAGGGGTGCTCTTCACTAGGCTCCTCAGAGATTCCATTATGGGACACACTTGCAAATATCCCTGGGCTGTTTATTCAAGTTACTTGAAACATTTTCCCTTCTGTTTAATCTCCTTATCTTTTCCATCTTATTTTAATATCTAAAGACTCCTGCTTGATATAAGGCTGAAATTCTCTTGTCAGGCAAGGCAGAAGAAATTATTCATATTACTTCATTTGGACCCCAAAATTGTCCTGGTCCAGCAGACTCTCCACATCATATTATTAAGAGCTGAAGAATTTAAGAAAAAGAAAAAGAGAGTAGAGTCACAACCATGAAGACCATTAAAGGAAACAGGTTGACAAATATTTATTGTCTACTGAAGATTACTGTTGGTTTCTGGACCATCGAATACAGTGACTACAGATGTGTGCTCCAGGGCATTCAGATGTTGCTGCAGTTCTTGCCCAGAATTTTGTACGTTTCAGTCCAGGGTATAACAAACACTGAGAAGTAGCACTGGATTTTCTAAAACAAAAAAAACAAAACCAGTACTTAAGGAGATTAACATGCAAAGTGAAATTTACATGCAAGGGAGAAAGAAGGGGATATAAGATATAAGGACAGGGAAAACAACACCACCTTGTCGGGTCTCACGACTCAAGGTCACTCCAGGTGAACTGGGCTGCATGAAATAATCACACAGAGACAAATACCTTTTTATTTGGGTCCTGTGATGGCTCCTCCGACCTTAGGGGTCCATGGAAAGAGAGAGAGGAGCACATGCTGAACCGTTTTATTGGGATGAAGCCATTCAAATGAGGCAAGGGGTAGGATTACAAGGGAACAAGTGAGTGTATCTCAACCCCTCTGGGTGCCGCCTACTCCTAGGGCCACTCCCAGGGCCACACCTTATTATCCGAAGAAGGAAAAAGCGTGAGTCAAGAGTCCTGACACTACGGTGTCAGACTACAGTGATCTTTCAGATCCCCGTGGTGCATCAGGACTTAAAGGTGTGTGCATTTGGAGTGGCTTCCCACACTGCCTCTCTAATCCAGATCTGTTTTTATATTCTTGATTTTAGTCATTTGATAGTCATATTGCTGGAATCATTTCAGAAAACATCCATTTATGATCAGATTTGAAGAATAAAAATGAAGTGTTTGCCCAGCCATTGTTCACCATAGGAACCACTGATTGTTTTTCCTTTTCATTTTTACTCATGGTTTTTACTCTATACCTTCTCTTACTTGGCCTCCATTGATTCCCTTTCTTCCTATTCTTCTCTCTCCCTCCCTTCCTTCCAACCATTTATATCCTTCCATTCATCTACTCATCTGTTTATCCATTCATTCATACAAACACTCTTGCAATTCCATTCAATGGCCATTCATTTTCCTTCCTTCCATCTATGCATCTAACTTCCTTCCTTTCACCCAATCCATCCATCTTGGTTTCCTTAATTTGTCCATCCATCTATGCATATCATTATTTTCTCCTTGCTTTCTTTTTATCGTTTCCCAAGTTTCTCTTATTTTTTACTCCATTTTTATTCCATAATGAAAATCAATATTTTAAATATATTTTGCATATGATTGATTATTATTTTTTGGGAGGTCTGATTCTGTTTTTCCTGCTTTTCACTTGGAAGCCTAGAATGTAAAGGGTGAGGCTTACTTTTACATTTTTCTTAAAATAGAACTCAGCGTACTAACTCCACCAATTCAGTCTCTCTAGTAAGAAAGTTTAATTTTTAAAAATTTGACTTTACTGTTAGTTTAAATTATTCTTTACAGAAATTTTATGATCTTCCCCAGGGAAGAACCAAAGAAGACTTCCTTGCTAGATTTTGAAGAATTATACATGTAAAGCATGAGAAGGGAATCCAGGGATGGACACATTTCTGTGTTGAGAAACCTCAGACTATTATAACTAGGGTGACCACATAATTTATGAATCAAGCAAGGCCATGATATAAGCAAAAGGATATGCTATTAAATGATTATATTAAAAAGTTGTCATAAGTCAGGACTCTTCTAGGCAAGGAGGGATATACAATTATCCTAGATTTAATTCTTTTGGATGAGTAAGAGATCTGGAAGACTTCTGAGACAACCTTCCAGGTCTTTCTGTACAGAGAACTGACCCTAACTCTGCACACAGTAGTGATGGTGTGGGCCAGTGTCTGCCCAGCCTCCTTCAGGTAAACAGTGCTAAGCAGGAATGAATCATGCTGATGACTGAGCAGACTTTGGGGCAGGAGGCCACGCAGCATATCATACACACATGGGCTCATTCTCCCCAACCCAGCTCTGCCACTGGCCGAATTATTTTCAACTTGTTTTTTGGTCTTATGCTTTCCAAACACTGTTGGTTGAAAGGAAGAAGGACAGGAGCTCAGGAATTTCACATTCTTGGTGTGCTGATGTTTAGATATTCAGCAAGCGCTGGGTCCCTCTGGCTGCTAGAGTTTTACTAATAATTTGACTGTTTCCTGTCCCCCTGCAACTTAAGTCATCTCTACGGCTCCTCTGGACCACTTCAGCCTCTTTATAATCCTTTCAGCAACCAAAGAGTGATACCTTGGTCATTCCCATCTTTGCTTTTTCTCTCTGAGAAAGAAGGTATTATTCATGCATTATTTTCAAGCGAGCTTGAATGAATTTTTTTATATATTTATTTTTTAGCTTTAGGTGGACACAATATCTTTATTTTTATGTGGTACTGAGGATCGAACCCAGTGCCTCACGCATGCCAGGCTAGCGCGCTACTACTTGAGCCATATCCCCAGCCCCTCAAGCAAGCTTGAATGAATCCTAAATAGTTCTGCCCCAACCTCATCATACAGAAAAAAATAACCTACTGAAAATGAATTCTCTCTATGTGAATGTGTTTTACCAAGTACCTTGAAAAGTTTCCCATTTTGAATTTCACAGTTGCCCATCTTTGGCTTCAGGCAGACAGTTCTCTGCATCTCCACATGTGCAAGGATCTCCATATGGTCGGTTATCTGTGGGCATCAAGAGATAAGGAGATGCAGAACAACCTCTTCTCCCTTCTCTGCTGTTTCTGCGTGCAGACATTCATTTATACTTTGCCTGAGGGCAAAGACCCAGTCCTAGACTGATTGATGGTCTCTTCTTGTGTGATGCCTTGCCTCTTTTTGTCATTCAAAGAGAATACACCAGAAGCCACAAGAAACACTATGTTTCTTGCTTCATAAGCAAACTCCCCCATTGTATAATAGGAGTGATGCAAAGGGTTCAAGGCAGAAATCTGTAAAGTTTTTCTGGTAAAGGATAGATTGTAAACATTTTAGGCTTTGTGAACTATCTAGTCTCTGCTACAACTTGTCAGTTGTGCCATGGAAGCATTACCATAGCCATAGGTGTTATATATGTGTAGGTTTGGCTGGGCTTCAAAGCAACTCTATTTACAAATGCAGGCAGCAGGAGATTTGGCCCTTGGTGTATAAGTTGTTGACCATTGATTATTTTTTTTAGTATCTTTAAAGAACAACTTCATTCATTCTAGAGAATGTACATTTCTTTTAAAATGCCTGCTTCACGTGAATATACTGCATATACAACCAGAGATATGAAAAATTGTGTTCTGTCTGTGTAATAAGAATTGTAATGCATTCTGCTGTTATTTATAAATAAAAAATAAAAAAATTAAAAGATTAATGTGGATGGGGATTGAAACATTAGAATTATTCTGAAAGAACAAGCAATAATTGTTTTGCATTATCAAGTACCATCTATTGGCCCCACTTATACCTAAATTTGGAGAAGGATCTCAGTGAGAAATAAAAAAATATATTGAAAAAAAATGCCTGCTTCATGTGGCACTAGATTTCACTGGAGTAGGACACACCCTGTAGTATCAGTGGGTCCCTGGAGGTTGGGTGTGGTGAGGAGAGGATGGAAGCCACTCACTGACCTTCTTCTGGATCTTTAGGACTCGAAGGATCCTGAAGTTGTACGTGTCATCACTTTGCTTGTTGTATTCATTGTTGATGTACTTTAATGTGTCTTCTACGAAGTGTTCCACTGCAGATGCTTCATGGATACTTATCAAGGATTTCTTTACTTGGTAGGTGAAGGCCACCAGGGACATTAGAATGGCCAGCAGGAGCTGCGGAGACTGCCAGAGTCTGGCCATCCTCCTTTAGCTAGATAGGAACAGGAAAAGCCCACTCCTATCCCTCCCAGGAGCCAGCTGTATCAGACTGGCAGCCCCATCTGCCCTGGCTTGATTTAAAAGCAACCCATAGTGAACACCCACACTTCACCTCTCCTCCTCCTTTCTCTTGCCTGCTCTGGGAAGAGTGCAATGATTGACAAGCTCACTCCACTTTCTGTCATTCTTTTCTTATAAGCTCTTGTTTTACACACACACACACACACACACACACACACACACAATTCTCTTTTGCAGCTGCTTCCTCAGCAATACACACTCTTCTGTGGACTTAGTACAATCTTAATGGAAGCCAGGCCAGGAGCCTCTGTCCCCTGAGCTCACTTGAGCATATTCTGTAGGAAGTCTGGGGTACAGGAAATTATGAAGACATGAGGCTATTGGATTCCAGGAAGCAAGTCAACACCAGGTGGGCCTGGGAAGTAGGAGTCCCTGAAGGTAAGGTCTGTACAGAAAGCATTCTCCAAAGAACAAAGGAATAGGTGACCAGACAGAAGAGTGTGAAGTCAGAAAGGCTTACCTGTGAGGCCAATGGCACCTGTCCCCAAATCCATGTTTTGGAGGCGGATGGGGCGAGAAAGAGACCAAGGGAGAGGTTCTATATTCTTGGGTGAGAGATGCAAAAAGCTTTCTAGCTGGAAACTGCTCTCAGCAAGATAAGACCACATGGGAACCCCAAGCTTGGTGTCCAAGTGGAGAAGGAAGAAGTCTTGTAGGAGAAGGCTGGCACTCATGTCACTGGCCCTCAGTGCAGGAGCCAGCTGGATGCACTGTTAGGTATTACTACTAAGAAAGCCTTTTGAGGTGTTATTTGGAAGGATATAATTCAATGATGTGTAGTGATGTTTCCTTCCTGTGTGTGGGAACCCAGGGGAGAATGTGGGTGAGTACAGGGAAGACCTACCTGGGAGGATAGGATGCCTGTTCCAAGTGTTGTTCTTAATGATCAGCTAGGTTTTCCCGTGGGTGGAAGGCCCCATGACAAGGAAAGAGCATCTCTCTCCTAACACCTCCCACCTAGCCTTCCTTGCAGACACATATAGTATTCATCCACTTATCCACATTGATGCTAACACAGACACATGCCTGTCCACAGGCATGCCACAGACAGGCACGTGTGTCTACACTCCTGTTCCACATACACACCTACACTCAAACCAACACACACATACAAGTGCATATCTACACTCATACTTGTGCACCTATACCCTTGCTCCACATACATATCTAAACTCACACTGACACACCCACACAGACATGCCCCATGTACACACCCACACTGACATACACAAGCATAAAAGATACACGGAGACACTCAACCACCTCAATCCCACTGTAATAGGTGAAAGGATCTTTGAATTAAAGACAAAGGAGAGATGGTATCTTAGAGTGGATTTAATTTGCATTTCTCTGATTGCTAGAGATGTTGAGCATTTTTTTCCGTGTATTTGTTGATTGATTGTATATCCTCCTCTGAGAAGTGTCTGTTCAGGTCCTTGGCCCATTTGTTGATTTGGTTTTTTGTTTTCTTGTTGTTTAATTTTTTGAGTTCTTTGTATACTCTGGAGATTAGAGCTCTATCTGAAGTGTGAGGGGTAAAAATTTGTTCCCAGGATGTAGGCTCCCTATTTACCTCTCTTATTGTTTCTCTTGCTGAGAAAAAAGGAGATGGAGAAAGGGCTGAGGACAAGAAATACCCTTCCAGGGTACACCCTCAGTGATCTATTTCCTTCAATTATGCCACATGCCTACGGTTTCCTTCACCTCCTATTTAGCTCTCAATGGATTAATCCCCTGATGAGGTCAGAGCGCTCATGTTCCATTCAATTCCTGAAAGCCCTATCTCTGAACATTGCTGCTCTGGGGGATATTCCAGATCCAAACCATGATATCATCTGACCAAGAAATAAGTAAAATGATAGTTGAGACAGAAGGATTCATTCTATGAAGAGCTGACTTGGTTGGGAAGAGTCACATTTTCCTTATTTGCTATTGGGAATAGGCAAATGATGAGTGGAGCCCCTGCAGCTGTATTGGAAGAAGAAATAAACTAAGGACAGAGACTAGCTCTGAGAATGGAACAGCAGAAAGATGAAGGGAACTTGGTGCCTTGTGCCCTCATCAATTTTTGGAGTCACCATTCCAAGCCTATATTGCTATCCTAACTTCTTTTATAGAAGAAAATGAACTCTTGTATGTTTAAGTCACTTTATTTTTGTCTTCTGATTCTCATGGGCTCACATGACCAACACATGATGAGATTATTGTAAGGTGTTCTAAACAATATTTACAAAATTTTGTCTTCTAGGATGTCATGGCAGAGACACATTCATTAATTCTCTCTTGCAGAGTTGCTACAAGATCGGAAATAGCATATGTAAGCATCCAGCATTGGTATTTCATCATGGTTTTAACATTTGTCTAATTGGTAATGATGTGAAATTTATTGCCTATTAGTCAATGATCACCTTATGATTTTTTTCTATTTATACATTTTTGTTAAAGTGTCTGTTTTTGCCTTTTGACCATTTATTAATTGTTTTTTAAGTGTTGAGTTTTGAAGATTATTTATATATTCTCTGGACACAAATTTTCTCTGGATATGGGATTTGAAAGTGTTTTCTCATGGATGGAACTTGAGAGCATTATATTAAGCAGAATAAACAGACTCAAAGTCAAGGGTTGTATGTGGAAGTAGAGAGAAAACAGAAGAGAGAAAG